GGGGGGGGGGCATTGTAACTGAATAGTCTTTAAATAGTGAACAAAAGGGAGGTAATAGGGGTAGGCAGTTACTCAGAAGTTGCTACGAGAATAGAGGTCTCTTGAATACCTCATTGTATTTCTCTGGTTGTCTTGATTAGGAGGATTACTCAATAAAACAGAAAGGCTCATGCTTAAATTCTTTTTCATCTATTCAATCTTTCTTAAATCTTTCTATCATATTAGTTAAAAGCTGAGCTAACTTCTTTTCCATCCAACTTTGGTTCACAACCAAGCTGCTTGTAGGGTTCTCAAATATCTGAAGGGCCGCCTAGGGTGAGGTTTATTCTTCCCTAGGTGTTTTACTTCACAATTTTTTGGTTTCATATGCTGTTTGGGCTGGTTGCTTGGACTATTGTCAATCAATCTCAGGACTGTGTTCCTTACTTAGTTCGCCTCTCATTTCTTGGCGCACTACGAAGCAGCCAACTGTCTCCCCCTACTTCTAAACAGAGTACAGAGACCCCACTTCCACTAAATGTGAGCTTCAGTGGCTCCTCTACTTTATGATCAGAAGGCTGAATGTACTTGCACCTTGGTTCTATATTACCAACCAAAGTGCATTAGTGATTAGACATCGTTGCCAACCCAATGTTTCACAAATAAACCAAACATCACGAGCTTGTTTGTCATTTGTTTTGCTAGAAAACACAAGTTGGGGCACTTCATCATCTCTAACCCATTTCTTCTCGAGGGCAATTTTCGTCACTAAGGCACTCAGGGGGTGGGGGTGTTTACCCGATCTAAAAGATGATTAAGCAATGCATCATAACCAAATAACTACCCAACCAGCTCAAGATAACTGAATAGCTACCAATAAGTTATGTTTGTGTAGTTTTAGCAGTACATAGAGGTATTATAGGATGCATCCTAGCTCAGGGAATTGCTTAGTGCAATCTCCCTTTCCAGTTAAATACAGTACAGGTGACGTTATCAATAACTCCGAAATCATAAATAGTTGAGGAAAAGGTTAAAAAGAAAAGGGGCGAAGGAGGAACCTGCCAAGACTCTTCACCCTTGAAAGAATAAAAGACATGCGCTTTTTTGATATCAGGCAAGTGGATTTTGTTGTCCCCTTTGCATGAAAAATAAACATCTGGAGTGGGTTTTAGCCACTCGTGGGTTGTGAAGATCTCAATCGAGCTCAGCGTCACGTCGGCACAAATGATCAATCCTGTGCTTCCAACAGTTATTATATGTCATGAACTATGCGTTACGTTGGATTTCACAAAAACTAAATAAATAAACGAATAAAGGAAAAATTGAGAATAAACCTGGAAAGTATGTGAAGAAAAGAAGAAGAAAATTGCGCGGATGTGGAGACATGGACATTGATCGATTAAGGAGAAAGAACTGAAGTGAGATTTGCGCCAAGGTTAAACGACAGCGTTCAAGGGTAGCAACTGCTTTATTTATTGGTTACGGTCTGGTCCGGTGCGTTGTTCCAACCAAATTATCGCATTGCTTAGCGTACCAACACAGCACAAAAGATTCCGCCACGTCATTATTTCTGGAAGGAAGATAATAGGTAAAAGGAAACACTCATAGCATAGCTTTTAGGATTACTTTTTTTACTATTATTATTAATTAATAATTACCTAGAATACTCTTCAGGTTAAATACAGTCTTGGCCTCTTGGGTGGGCAGACAAAGGAGTTAAGTTATTTATTTCAGCTCAAATTTGTCTAAATTGAATAAATAAGTTTGATTATATATATGAGTTTCATTTTATTTAATTAAAATTCTCAGCAAGTATTTATAAAGGAGAAAATAAAAGTAAGATAAATCAACTTTTTTTTTAATAAGTTTAACTTTACAGAAATTAGCAAAGAGTTTTTAAACAATTAAAGTGTATTAAATTAATTTTAAGCTATACAAATGTTTAATTTGTTATATATATATAAATGTTCAATAAGAGACTAACTAATTACTTATGTCACTGCAAAATTTGTTTAAAGAACAAAATAGCCTTAAGGAATTCACATAAAGTGTCCTTAAGGAACTTAAAAGAAGCAACTTTTGAAGAAAATATTCATTAGTTTGGAAAAATGTTTGATGATCTCAGTTATTGTATGAGTTACTGTTTTTTCTTTTTTCTTTTTTTGTTAAAAGAAGAAGATATTATTGAAATAAGTTTTATCTGTTTTAATATTTTTTTTATTTACATAATTAAGAATCAAGCTTTTTGATAATAAATTTAAAATAAATCACTATTTACCAATTATATTAAATTTTTATTGATTGTTGGCTTAATATAAAAATGGTGAATGTTTAAAACAATATATCATGATAAAAAAGTATCATTAAAAATCTTATTGAGGATAGTCAATCCCTTTGGAATTAATCATGTACAAATTATTGTAATTCAAGGACATGATATCCAAAACATTAAATGCGATAAGAAGAGTTAGAAATGACATTGACTTAAATTTAATTTATAAATAAAATATATTCAGCTTACATTTTATTAAAAGATAAAATTTAGATATAGTTATTTAAGTGTAATTAGTGATATTTTTTAATTAAAATTAAATTTTTATTTCGATATTATACACTTATATTTAATACAATTTTTATCATTATATATATTTATACTTATCAACATAATAAAACTCTAACTTTAATTGAAAATAACATCAATCGCATATAAAAAAAATTTACCTACGTTTTATCTTTTACTAAATTATCCTAATTATATTTCTACTTTTAGAAAATATTAACTTTTAATATTGATGGAGCTTTAGATTTATATAAAGGTCACTCTAAGAATCATTTTCTTATTAATTAATTAAAATTATTTTTTTCGTCCATATATTTTATCTATACAGTATTTTAAAGTTGATAAAAAAAATTAATTAGTGCTAGTTATGATCGAAAACAAATAATCTAGAGACTTTATTAATTTATCAAGTATTAATTTGTGAAAGTATAAATGTAAAACAAAATCTAATATCAGTAATTTCTTTTATGAGCTGAAAATAATAACTTCTGTAAAATAAGATAAAAAACTATTTTTTAAAAAACATATATAAAAGCATCTTAAATTAGATGCAACTTTTAATTACCATGTTGAAATATAAATCAAACCAATGCAACCTAGCTAGAGAACTTTTATGACTTTCTTTTTAAAATCGAAATTTGATTGAGAAACAAATTTACTCATTAATCATTCTAAAATATACAATTTAGTAATTAAAAAGAACCGGCTCATGTACAATTGGAGCTGAATAAATTTTCTGAAATTCTCAGCTTGGATCCTATACGTACATGAAGATTATAAGAATTTGTTTCTTGTGTGTTTCAGAGTGGTTTTAACCCTAACTCAATTCTACAAAATCGATTTATAAGGAGGATTTGAGCCTAACTATATTATTAATTGCCTAATCTATGGATGACCCTTTTTAATGATTGACAGGACTTGAGTTTTTTTTTTAAATACATCATGTTCATGGTGCATGTATCAATGGTAGATGATCCATTTAAAATAAATATAGATAATTCTAATACCATCTTAGAATATATGAATTTGACTCAACTCTACAAAATTAACTTATAAAGTGAGAGTTATTTTTTACTTATATACTAAGTAATTGTCTAATCTCTAGTCGATGTGAGATTTGAATTTTTTCCTAATAGTATAAGAGTAAAATAAGTAATTTTAGTTATTAATAAAAAATGAATAATTGCATTTCAATATTTATGATTTGTTGTATATGAACCATTTTCTCATTAACAATTAATATTAATTTATTCTTTAAAGTAGAATATTTATAACCTTTCCTCATTTTGATAAACGTGATGTGCATAAACCACGAAGCTAAGTATGTGCTTCCATGTTTTTGAGAATTGAATTGGTTATATTTCACGACCGCAATCCAATAATAATGACATATAAACACCCTATTACTTTTTGTTTCGATTTGAAGAGTTTAAAGCGATTTTGATTTGCATAATAATGTATTTATCACAATATATACTAGTAATATAAAAATTATAATTAAAATCATTTTAGATACACATCTAATCATTACCTTTAACTACTGAAAAATGAATTTTATGAAATCCAATAATAATGATTCATTCATGTTAGATGGAATCAAGTTGAGAAGACTTTGGTTTCCAATTGGTAGGCCTTGGTGAAGAATGCTGGCCAACAGAGATATGTAGCCATTATGCTACTAATAGTTGCTGCACCTATCATCATATTCATCACCACTATCTGCAGTTGAATGGCTTCCAACGGGGACGCCCCTCCCATAATAAGACCAGTCATTGCCCCAGGAAGGGATATTAGTCCCACCGTTTTGGTGTTGTCCACCACCGGAGAAAGAGCCAAAATCAGAGCCCTTTTCACTTGCTCATGCGTTGCTTGTCGCGGGGTTGCCCCAAGAGCCAATGCCGTCTCAACCTGCATTAACACAAATTCATCATTAACAACTAAATATTTTCTCATTCATTATTTCAATGTCATTCATTATTTGTCAACATGATGTATCAACTACACTAACATGATATGTTAACCTCATTAACAATAATGTGACATAATATATCATGTCATTCATACGCCACTGCCAAATCAATAACTTTTTAAATGATAAAGGAATTATTCTTAAGTTTGTGTGGCTGCAAATAAAAGAATTGGATATTTTGCATTGACTTTATTTTATTTTTTTGGTTTCTTGCGTGAGTGGATCTGCTCAAACATGTGCAGATCTCATCTCAGCGCAGTAACAAACTTGCAAGCTTCTAACTTCTAACTGTATTATTTATTTATTTATTATTATTATTATTACATGAATACGAACACGACATACATACCAAGTTCATTTGTGTTTTGATGTCATCTCGAAGTCTTTTCATGGTAACACCGGTAACTGTCATGGAGTTCCCAACCATCATACCTGCGACAGGTATGATATATCTGGGAGTGAAAGGGAACACGCTCAGCGCCACCAGCACCAACATCGTCACCGCAGTTCCCGTCAGAATAGAAACCCCAGCCACATACTTTCCGCGAGGAACATGTTTCGCACGCTCACCCGCAGTGTAACCAGCAACTGATACCTGCAAAGGAAATATTGTTTTTTTTGTTCACCAAGTACAAAAATCTATTCAACACTAACTTCTATCAAAAGATTTTAATCTTTTTTTTTTTTAATCTGCAACATACTCAAAATCAAAAATCTTATTTAAAGAAATTATACTATTCAGATTAACAACTTAGTAATGGAAATTAATCCACAGGCCGGATAATAATTAGCCAACAGAAGCAGCATAAATTGAATTAAAAACTGAAAAATAAAGTTTGAATAAGGAATGAAGAGTGACCATGAAAAGGTATGCTAGAAGGATCCATCCAGCGTTGTCTTGGTTGAAAATGAACTGCAGCACAAAGCCAATGATAGAGAGTTGAATAAATGCCCTGAGAATGGCAACAACCATCTCTAACTCAAGACCAAGTTTCTGGTAGAAGGACAAGGAGACGGCGAGAATCACGACGGCGG